CTTAGCTTTCTCTTTCCACCTGGGCCTGCATCCTCGAGCTTGGTAAGATCAGTGGCACCTTGAAGTAGCTTGGCCAAAGGCTGTGCATAAGTTTGCTCTTCATCATCTGTATCCATGACGTCCGCGTGCTCAGAGTCGGAATCGCCCCGGCTCTTTTGTTGTCCCGGAATCGCCCATTCAGGTGTAGGATGCAGCTGCTGATAATGGCGGCGAAGTCGTCGAATATACTCATTGCCACTAATCACGTCCTCAGACTCAGCGACACGCAGCTTTCTCAACCTCTGCTGGCTGGCTAGGGAGACAGCTAGAAGTTCGTCGTCGCTATCATGCCACACAGCCGGAGCTTCCTCCAGATCTTCTTCCTCAGTTTCGGAAGGTGTTTCCGGGGATTCGGCGAGGTCAGTGGAAACGGGTCCAGCCCCAGAATCAAGGAAAAAAGCTACAAAGGAAACACATTAGCGCGACCAACAATTTGACAGTTTCTCTTTTCTTGCTTCTTTTACAAGAGAGAAAGGAGGAGAGGGGTGATATACATACATCGGCATCATCAACGCCATCCAGTTCTTGATCCTCACCCCCATTCTCCCCACGATCTGCGTCAGAGCCCTCATCGCCGCTTTCTTGCGATAAAGCCATAAGGCTGCGCTCCTTTTGGCCTTTTAACGCGCCTTGAAAACCCTCATCGTCGCCAAATAGCAGCTTTTCCAATTTCTTCTCCGATTCATCCTTTTCAGGAATATCATCAGAGCTGTCGCTCATGTTGCTATTCATTTCCACGTCGCTGTCTTTTTGAGTAGCCCTAGCATTCTCAAACGGCGAACGTGAAATCTGCTTATATTTCTGGCGGGCTTTTTGCTTGACATTGACTTTAGGCATTATGTAACTCGCTTAATCTTTTGGGATTTACAAGGATGTATATGGCCTATTATAAGGTAGAATGAATAAAAAAAACGGTATTTTAATGGAAAGAAAAGAAGGCAAGAAGCAGAATCGAAGAGTAAGTTGGTGCCGACAATGGTGGAGTTTCGACAATAATTTTCTTCATTCATCCGGCAGAAGTGGGCGGTGGGTTCTGCGGTAAGAAAAGCTGCCTTAGGGTATTGCAGTCTTCAGGCAAGGACATTTGACATCTATGGCAACCAACAAGCATGAACATATACCTAGACCGAATATGGAAGCATATAACTTATGAAAACCTACCAACTCAGAGCGAATTCTCTAAACATTGTTTAAGAAAAGGCAATATGGACAAAATGACAAGAGGGGAAATAAAACAAATCACAATCAATTCCGACCTTATACCAATGGAACCGAACCATCTGCCACCGTGACAACTGCCGATCATTAACGCCGACTTAAACACCGTTTCAAAGCATAGACTAGTCATGATCTTTTTGTGGTGTTGCTGACTCTGCCGATGATAGCGTCTGATCATTTTCAATATGTCCGGAGCGAGCTCTAGTAGATGTTGATGATGCAGAACTATGCTCCAGTTCGCTGGTTGGATGGTACTCAGCAGAGTCAAATAGGCGCCCGACATCCTTCTGGGGAGGGCTCACGAATACTTTCCTGCTGCCCTTCCCAGCAGAGTCATCTTCTGATTCTGATGCGACCTCCTCTTCCAGCCCGGCCAACAAGGCATGATGGTGATCGTGCCTGTCATCTAGTACGTCATCAACCTCACTCTCTTCTAGCATTTCATGCGCCGGTTTCTTGATGAATATATCGATGATGTAATATTGAATCGCATTCATGATTACCGGAAAAAGCAACATCACAAAGATGATTTGAATGGCTGTGTTACCCTCGGTCCATCGCAGAGCCCAGTCGCCCACCTTGACGATGAACGGCAACAATTGAATGAGGAAGAAGACGCATATCTTCATCCCCAAAAGTCCCACAAAGTATATCATAGATTGTTTGAACCACCAAGTCGCTCGTGGCGGACGACCGTAGTGCCCAGACTTAATAGAGTCCGGGGGATCTGCAAGAGGTGTGTAAAGAGCCAGGCGGTTCAAAATGTGGAGGATGAAAATGAGAATCGGTATACCGAGAGTAGTCTGCGATTAGCATTAGCCAGCAACTAAGAAGATACAGAGATACAAAACCGAGGAACTTACATCGATGCCTAGGTTCAGTATGTAGAAAGAGCATGGGTTTGGCTTATACTCGCTCGTAATTTCTAATTGACCGGCCGAGAACATGGACATGAGCAGATTCGCCAGATGTAGCATAGCCGATCCGAAGACCTGCTTGGAAACATCGAACGCCCACACTTTTAGGGGTCGTTGAGGTCTTTCCCTCCATCTCTTATAGACAAGGGATAAAAGTGCTAACGCTCCGAGAGCGACTTGCACCAGAAGAGAGAAAGGACCTAACAGCCTGCATTCTCCGGTGTCATCACTATCTCCACTTGGATCTGGGCCTGCCAGGGAAAAAGGGATAGTTTGAGAAGTCGGAGTCGGTATGGGTGTGGCGAGAGTGCTGGAAACAAAGTCCAAGTCGCCAGCCGAAACGCTGCTGATGAAACCTGTAATAGTAATCGCCACACTGGCTACCGAAGTAAACTTTGAGACAGGCATGGCCGGCCTATCTCTATCTTTAACGAGTAATACGTTGGGTAGAATCACTGGTGTGAGGGCTAATAAGTTTGAGGGGGCTCAAAACAAGGCGGCTAGTGTGAGTGATGCGAAGTCGTCCGCTCATGTAAAAGAAGGCTCCCTATACAACGGGGGAAGCCTGTTTAACGCACATACGGACGAGTATCGCTGTGAGAACAGGTGTATTTGACATGTGTGAACGTCAACCGCAGGGCAAGTTCTCCTTTACCAGCAAGGATCCTGAGCCAGCCAGGTGGGTTTTTACAGTTATCTGAGAATGGGGAACGAAACATCGCGGTAGAAGCGGCGGTGCCAGGACGAGACACCGCCCCCGCCCGTAAGCGGAGCTGTCCACTAGTTCCCAACTTTTGGGTTAGTCTAAGGCAGCTAAACTGCTAGTATCTTCGGATGAAGGATACTCACTAGACCCTTGATAGATAGGTACATAGTTAATCTGTTTCGCATTGATCCCTTCAATAATCTACAAAGCAGCTAGAAGATAAATCCCTTCGTACAAGTTTCCAACTATTATTTATGATACTTATTTTCCTGCCTTCTTGACCCCTATTCAATTTGTGATTATATCTAATCCGTCGTGAATTGAAGTGGATATGCGGGTCTATCTTTAATGAGTGATCCCAATATATATTCAATGGAGAACTATTATCTAAGATAGCGTCTCCCGGATAAGGGAAGTATCGAGAATGCTCCATTTCCGTTGTTGTGTCTTTCATCTAGATGCGAACCCACCGGAGCAAGGATTGACACAGCTGCGATATCCCATATCTCATCCATTCCACCAAGTAAGCTATATCTTAGATCATGAGCCTCTCAACCTTGTCCTTGATAGTCCGGATCTGTCCCATGAGATCGCTGGCCTCGTTGGTGGTGATGCTAGCCGCGATCACCGGACGAGAGACACCAGTCGCCCGGCCCAGAGCAAGCTTGCTGGGCACGAAGACATACGGGGTATTCTTGTCTTCACAGAGAAGGGGGATGTGCAAAAGGATAGCGAGAGGATTGGTGTCTGCAGCGAGGATGACGATTTCAGAAGTACCACGGTTGAGGGTTTTGGTTGCTTCGTTTGCTCCCTTCTTCAGCTGACGGTAGTGAGAAGCCTGCTGTACAAGGTCCAGGAGGTTCTGGGTGAGGCTCTCATCAGCCAGAGGCCAAGCTACAAAGGAATAGACATTAGCTCATGATCGGAAAGCGCTCAACCAGGAACGAATCCAGATACAACAGATAGCAAAACTCGCACTCACCGGCATTAGGTTCTCCAGACATGGTTTTGTAAATGGTATTGGCTTCACACGGAGGAGTGGCTCACGCAAAGGATCACTGCCGTCTTGCAGATCTGTATGCTTGAAAAGATTGTTTGAGAGAACGCTGTTCGGTTGAGAAAATCTTGACAAAAATGACTGGTGGGGCGGTACAAGGACTAACCTCCTTGGGAAATATTAATGCCTTAATTAACAGGCATAAATAATCACAGGCTCTCCAAGAGTTGCATGTCTACTAATCAACCTTTTTTTTTTTGGCAGATTTTTGTTCTCTTCTATCTTCTCTCATGATCCCGGTCGATGATTCGATTCACTTTGCAACTCCAATAGGAAGACGAAACCCTCCCAGCATGTATTATGCGATGATAATAGATCCCGGACCGAGTTTGACTTGTGCATAGTGTGAAAGGCAATGACTTTTACGGAGCATTGGGTCATGTTGAACATGGCTGTTTATCACCTTTGATACTACTAGTAGTACTCCGTTCAGGTGCACCTTGACAAGAACTCCAGCCATGATGTGATTACTGAGTAGTCAATCTCCTACCATCAGAACTGACGAATCAGGTGTGGGTACATACCCGTATTACAGTTGCCCAACTGTCCAAGCCTACCCTAAGGCCCTCTAGACTAACTGAAATAAGCTTAAGGGGATCTGTCAGGGGAGCCTGTGCCCGACCATGCAGGGTCGCATGATCTTCAAAGTAGATCTACGCTCCATGTGGTAAACATCACATGTAACGGCCAGTTGATTCGGAAAACCGCTTCTTTTATAAACTCCTAGGCATTAGGCATGTAGATTGCCTCATCTAGTGGTGCCCAGGCCTCATTGTGTGTACTGTTCTTATAGGGGTGGACAATAAGCTGGTCTCATAGGTTAACCGCGACAGCCGACAGTGGCCGGCGATCGAGAGCGATTATATTGATAGTAGCTAATAACCAGCCGGAATGGTGGAATTGACCCAGCCTGAAAGATCCCATTCTGTATCGTTTCCCTGGTCAATAGCCAGAGAGTGTCATTCAACCCGTCGGCCACCCTCATACTAGTATCCATGAATAAGAGTCACGAAACCCATAAGACTAAAACGCCAGAAACCCCACAACCAACCCATGATAATACGCAGCCAGATGCCTGCAAAGGGTACACAGAGAAAAGCAAGAAAAAGAATCGTAACGTCATTCTATACCGTGTTGCTGTTTAAGACGTTCCAAATTCTCTTGCCTTTCCGCCAAGTCCTCTTTCGACTTGAGCATTTTCTCTGGCTGGTGGTATAGTACTAGGAGTAAAGGGTCAGTCAAGCCTCACCTCGATTGAAGTAGAGTACGTCCAATCCAATACGTACCGACGAGGTATCTGTTCTGGAAATTGAATCCATTGAGCTTATCGCATGCCTGTTTGGCGTCGTGAACGTCTTCGTATACTACAAATGCGGTGCCCTTCGAGTTGTTCGCAATACCCTGACGTATTTGTCTAGAGACAGAAGGTTAGTCTACAAACGAATAATGGGGAAAATTTTTATGCTTCCTTTGCGACTAACATACCTGATAGGTCCGAACTTGCCAAAAAGGTCGAATAGTTGCTCAGCAGTTACGTTGTAGCTATACAAACAGCCTCTTTATTAGTATTTTATCCTCAAATCATGCATATATCCTTCTCTCGGTTTCATCAAAGACGCTAGACATGCAACGCTCGGCTCTGGTAGACCGGTTTATCACGACGGATGAACATACTTGAGGTTCTTGACAAAGAGAATCCTATCAGCTGTCAGTACATTGAATGAGCTTAGTAGGCTACAAATGAGGCTCCGAACGCGTAGATGATAGCTACGCTATCCGGCAGATCCAAATTAACGTAGGAGGGGCAGATTTGTTCGTGATAACTTACCGATTGGCTTCGGGGGCGAGCTTCCGGCTCATTCTCGGGTGGGACAGTGATGGTCCTAAAATTTGGTAGGGCGATTGATTGTGTCGAGTAGATACCCAACGGGACTGGGATCGTTCTTTTAGAAGGAAAGAAGAAGAATAGGAAGAGGAGAGAGTCACTGAACCGTGATGACCACGAGGTCGGAAACGGGGGATGCCTTTCCTGATTAGGACTAGGGCCCCGGAGGAGCCTCACTTTGTTGGTTCCTCATGAAGACAAGCATTACCAGAAACACTACGGATCTACACATCCCAAAGACGAGTACTAGGTAGCAGTATCGATTGGTAAAAGGGGCGTGGAATAAAACTACGCGGGAGTGACCTCATGTAATCTTCTCGCTGTATAAGTGGAAGACAATCCACATAACCAGCTCTGATCTACGATCTAGTACTGTTTGGCCGCAAACGATAGGCAGATATGAGGGTGGCCTGAAGACTGAGGCAGACTTACAGCGCCGCGCCCGCTTTGCCTTCACTCGCGCTCTCCTCGGCCTCTCGTCGCCGCAATACACATCTTCTCCATCCCACAACTCATCCCATCAATTACTTTCACTGCGCGCTATCCAATCGTTTAGTTCCCTTAATCTTTTAGAGCTCTTCTGTTCCTGCAGTGTCTTTCTTAATTTCGGCCGCACCCGCGGTGCGTCCTCGGTGCTGCGTCCTCCCGCCGCTCTCGACTAGTCGGCAGACTGAACTTCCCCCCTCAACCTCCCAGTGTTCCGCCGTGCGACTCTTCTCCGTCAACCTCTTTTCTTACTCAACACCGATCATCTCACCCCCTCTCGGATATCATTACATTATCCAGCGCGCGCCGTCCGCTTCGCCAGGAATGACTCTCCATTTGCCTGCGGTGGCCTCTCTATAGCCCGTGTGGTCGTTATATCCCCGCTTTGCCCGCTTGCCGCAAAGTACCTTGTCACCTCCGGTCTTACCTCTGCGCCCTTCCCCCTTTGATTCTATATCTCAGACCCAATATGATTACTACTACATCTTTTTTAAATCACTCTGGCAGTCGACCGCCACGCTATCGCACTCCCTCCCCTCCGCGACGCGCCGTTGAGCCAATTTCTCCCTGCACAACCGGCGATACTCGAGCTTCGTGGATCGACCGCGGCGCACCTAGAGTTGCGAACTTCGATCGCAACCAGTTCACACATAATCATAGTCGATATGCTGTCGCGGATAGCGTGTCTCATCAGAGATCTAGCCATGGGAGGTCAAGTTCGACGATCGACACCCTTGCGACGATTGCCCTCGCGACGAGTCCTACTTTTGCACCTCTATCCTACCGCCCTCCATCGCGGAATTCCACATCAAACATGTCCCTTTTTCCTCCAGAGCCGGTAGACTTCGCAGAACGCCCGGCTAAACGCCCGCGGTCGGAAAAAGATTCTTCTCCATCTCATCAGCATCGTATGGGCGCATTACCAGATTTAAAACCGCCATCGGCTTTCGACAGCATGAAAACAGATGCGGAGCTATTATTGAACTTTGCGAGGCCGTCGAATTTCCACCATACCGCCCCTTCTTCGAAACGAGCGAGCATAGACGAGTCATATCGTCAATATGGAAACGAAGCAAAACGTCATGTTAAGGATGGTTTCGGGGCTTCGTATATGGACTTAGGCGAAGATAAATCTACTTACAATACTTCGGGACACAGTAATTTTCCGCCGTCGAGGATGAGATCTCAGTCTGACGGTTCGGCTGTTATTTCTCGGCCCGCCATACATAATACGCGACCGAACACAAGTTCTTCCAGCCTTCAGCCAATTGTATGGCAGGAGGAAGGAGATAGTGCAGAAAGCAATTGGCCGTCTTCTACAAATGTGGTGGCCAACAATTTTCAATATGATGCGCAGGCCCCCGGCACCATTGACCCTCAAATATCGCGAAACTCTAAGGTGGAAGACGACACAGAGCTTGAAGAGTCTGGCCAGGCAAGTTGTGCTGCTTGCAATCTTGTCCGAATACCGATGGACACAGGCGAACAAGGTGATGTCACATGGATCAGCTGTGACGGCTGCAAACGCTGGTTCCACATTGTCTGCGCGGGCTTCAAAACTGACCGCGAAATTCGGACAGTTGATAAGTTTATTTGTCGTGGGTGTCGGCCAGTTCACGGACAGACTACCTTTGTTCGCAAGTCATCCCGTGCCCGTACTGCTATCGATTATGCCGGTCTCAACCAGGGACTTGTTAAGACTGCTACGGAGTCGATGGAGCACCACTATATTGAGCCTATCCGAGAAGGAAAAATTCGCTTTCTACCAGAGAGCTTTCCACGCATGCGCCCGGAGCTAGTCACAGCTGAATATTTCGAGCGAGGGAATGGCATGACAGAGCCAATCGTAATACCAGCCCATCTAAACACGCGGGATCCGTTTTCGACCAGCGGCCCTGACTATGATGCACTCGTCCAAGAAGCGTCTACCCAGGAAATGTTCGATGAGCTGTTGGACCACACACATGAAGAATGTCAAGGTGTTGAGACTGTGATTGATTGTGGCCAAGATCAATTAGACATGGTCATTCCCCAGGGTCTCACAGTCAGAGCGGTTGCAGAGCTATATGGGCCTGAAGAAAGGGTAGAGGTGATAGATGTTAAATCACAACAAGGCGAAGACAAAAGGTGGACGATGCAGAGATGGGCCGACTATTATGAAAATGCGGGATCTAAGGTCGTTCGAAACGTCATCAGCCTGGAGGTGTCGCAGAGTAGATTGGGCAAATTGATTCGTCGACCGAAGATCGTGCGTGATCTCGATTTGCAAGATTCAGTTTGGCCGGAAGATCTAAAGGCAGTTGGGGATTATCCCAAAGTCCAGTTCTACTGTCTTATGTCCGTTGCTGACTGCTATACGGATTTCCACATCGATTTCGGCGGCTCGTCAGTATACTATCACATTCTGAAGGGCAAGAAGACATTCTTCTTCATACCGCCTAAGGATAAACACTTAAAAAAATACGAAGAGTGGTGTAATTCACCTGCCCAAGACTCTACCTTCCTTGGGGACCAAACTAAGGAATGTTATCGGGTTGATCTTTCTGAAGGGGACACAATGTTGATTCCCTCCGGCTGGATCCATGCCGTATGGACTCCTAAGGACAGTCTAGTTATTGGAGGCAATTTCCTGACAAGACTGAACTATGGGATGCAGATCAAAATTGCCAAGATTGAAAAGGATACAAAAGTTCCAAGGAAATTCCGATACCCGTTCTTTCAGAAAATCCAATGGTATGCAGCTTTGAAGTATCTTGAAGAGGACCCTATTCCTCAAAGCGTACTGGATACCTTCGCGCAGGACGAGAATTATCGTTTCCATCGAGATTACCCCATCTACTACGAATTTGGAGAACGGGCAAACACAGCGCCTTTCGGATCGCCGTATCATAATTCGCGCTTCTACTCGCAAGCAGAGTTAGAGGGGCTCCCAGATCTTGCGAAGTATCTTCTTCGGACCGCTTTGATTGCTGGCTCTTACATTGTTGAAGGGGTGACGGCGGACAGCAGGAATGCAATCAAGCGATCAATCCCGAAAGGTGTTGGAGATCCGATTGACACTGTTAGAAAATTCGGAATCTGGGTCGCTTGGAAGCGTGGTAACGAAAAAGCCGCTCAATGGACACGGCCCGGTGTCGTTGAAAGCAATGCCAAACTCAGTCTCACAGAGAAAAAATCAGCTGGTCGACCTAGTCGTCGTTCAGAACGCAATATGGACAACCAGCGCATGTACGCAGAGAGGCAAGCTGTGCAAAGACCCCTAGAACAATCTCGTGAGACATCCAGTGCGGTCTCTGGTAGTAGTGCTTCGGTACCACCAAGCATCGTTGTTCCTACACCTCTCATCTCTTCCGGTAGCGGGGTGAAAGAAGATAATGTTTCCAGGCCTCGGAACATTCATCGGGGTTCCGGACTAGGTCCGAAGCGAGTTGCCTGTGATGCTTGTCGCAAACGAAGGATCCGATGCCATCATAAGGATGAACAAAGTGACCCAGCGCCAACAAAGCAAATGCCGGTTAGTGTCTTCGCCGGAAGCCAATCATCTCTGGCACATGATGCCGCATCTGCGCTGAGCTCTTTGGCAGCAATTGCATCTGAAGCAGGTCTTCAAGATGGAAATGGTGTGTTGGACCGATTTGAAGCTGCTGGAAAGTACGGGCCAACTGTCATGGGTACACCGCATACAGTGACCAGCAAACTAAACGACATTAGCCCTGATGGAATCAACGCAGGGAAGAAAGGACGTAGCAAGGCTTGTGATGATTGTCGAAAGAGCAAGGTATGTCGCTGCGCAACCGCCGTTGTGCATTTTACTTATTAACTGGTTGTGTATAGCGGCGATGTATCCACGACGAGTATGGGCGAATCGATCCTGTCAAAGCTCAGGAACGGTCGAAACCACGAGCTGCAGCTTCTGCCAAAAGACCCCGGCCCAACGAGGAAAGCTTTAACCCCACAACAAAGAGACCGAAGCAAGAAAGCACCTCTCCCATGGCAAAGTCGGCGCATCTCAACCGAGAAGGTGACACAATAGATGCGCAGGGAGCTCGACCATCTACTCAATTATACAAGACAGGCGACTTTGATGCCATTACGCAATCGGAGATATCTCGTGCGGATCAAGGCTTTTCGCAGCAGCCAGGTATGGTAGTTGCAACAAAGGAAGCGCCTGTGGCGCAAAATTCATATGCATCACCGCCTACATTTCAGACAGATGATGTCGTTGCTAAAGAGATCAACTCAGCCTCTGTGCCTCAGCCGGCGGTTTCACTTGTGTCGCCGCCAACTTCCTTGGCAGATGAGACTGATGTCCTCCAAGACCATGCCGATGCCGAGGGAGAGCATTCTGCAATCCTTCAGACACCGACATCTAATGCTCGTCACTCTTCTCGTCAACCACGTCATGTAAATCGATATATGCCTGAGGCTCATGTCATCAAGCCGTCGAAGTCATCTGCACACACACCAAATGCACGTCGCCCATCCTTTAGCGCTTCAAGCACTGGCACGCATAGGACTACCCCTGGTCCATCGTCGGGTTCGAGGAAGTCGTTGTCACGTCCGTCATCATCACACGCAAAGACGCCAACCGCCGATAAGAAAATTGACCGTCACGCTACGTTAGCGTCCCCTGGCCAGACTGGCAAGTATATGAAGCGTGAGCGAGCGACTGGTGCAAACGGTGAGCCAGATGCTGAGAGCATGCGCTTGATCCGTGAGCTTCAAGAGCAGGAATTTGGCCTACGAAAGCGATCCACGAGAGCGTAAAGCAGGCGACCGACCTGCGATTTTTTGATTTATGTCATGCTCTCTTTATGACAGGTTATGAAATTCTTTTCCCTTTCCTTTCCTTTTCTTTTTATTTTCCCCCTCTTATCTAGACCACCTCAATCGGGCAACCACCGAAGTTGATATGAATCTGAAAGAATTACACTCGGGTGATTTCACTACTTGCTGCCGGGAAACTTGGGAAGGGAGTTTTGAAAGGGTGGGAGTCTGGACTTCGTTGGGGCTTTATGCTTTGTGTGATTTGAATCGGCGTTTCGTCGTCGCCAGGCTGTGACGTTCGTTTGGGTTTTTGTCTCATTGCATCAGACATTATTTTTGAGCATTTCTTTCCTATCTTGCTTCTTTCCTTTTAGCTCTCCAAGTCTGTTCAATTTGGCGTTTTGAGTGGGTACACTGGGGATTCCTGATCAAACCGTTTCTCACATACCTTTGCTTTGTTTCGGTCAAATCCTTCCTGCTGTATTTTCTTTTCATGCTAGTTCCTTGGGTGTTCGTTCAATGAAGTCTTGCTAGCGTCGTCAATCGGTTAGCTGCCCATGCCTTATTCGTTTTCTCTTACCTTCACTGTTTCATTTCGTCTCTATACCGATTTTTTCTGTTCTGGTATTGCTTGACATAGCTCTCTGAATATCCCATTTATCCTTCCGAAAACGGATATATTATTACCATGATCCATACCTTTCCAAACAAGATAGGCCTCCATGTATGCCTTCCGCGATTTTGTTGTTCAGAATGTTCTAAATATCCGATCAAGTAGTTAATGTGGATTCCCGCGTCTTCAGAACCTAGGCCCTAGACTACACGAAATGGAATATCTTTGTTGGCCGCTTGATGATGACCTCAGTGCTGCCAAGTCCACATGTGACAAGCAGACAACGTCCGTAACAAAGCTAAGTGGCCGTTTATCAATCAAATGTGCTGTAGACGATTAGAACCGGCCGATGGACGTCAATTTTGGGGCTGCATTTAAATGTCTACGCTGAGTGATTGAACAATGACTCATTTACTAGTAATCGTTGATTCATCGACTCAGTTATCTATCCAGTCTCAGCCCAGTTTCACTTTCACCCTGTGCAAGGAATCTCAAAGTTGCGACCATCGACAACTCCATCCAGTGGAGATCTCCTACCAAGCTCCATCGTACGTAGTAACTGTATATTCATCATCCATCGTGACTCATACGCTTCAAACTCTTGACATCAAGTCAATGGTCTAAAAAGTCGGGTATATGGGAACAGATGGTGTATATCCTATGATATGGAATGGAATCACCAAAGAAAAGGAAGGAAAAGAGGGAATCAAGTCTTCATGGCTTGTTGACCCAAGAAACCCTTCAATGGCGGCTCCCTGGGTCGGTACTAAGCCATCGCTTGGCCCTTGTGTGCTCCCCGATATAGTTCTTGATCACGCAAGGCCCCTCATCAGGCCCTTGACACACTTTGCGGCGATCTAGATGTTTGAACCGAGGACCAAGGGGCCCGTTCACGTAATGATATTGCCCTGCGAAGCGATATTGTCGATGATCTCCCAATGGATAGAACTTGTCACCCCAATGGCCATTGTAATAAAACCATTCTGTGGGTGAATCCAGGTTGAAAGTGGATGCAAGCAAAGTATCGTTGTTATAATCATAGGTATATGAGCGGGAGTTTAAGAGAGGATCCCACAGCGGGCCGCGGTCCGTCTGATCGTGAAGGAGACCCCATGGCAAAATATAATCGTGAATACCGGGAGTCGCGTACATGGCATGGGTTCCCAGCGCCGAGTAGATGACTGGCTGATGATCCCGGTCAGTGGAAATGGTATATGTATGTTTTCAAGATAACTTTGACTTACTCGCTCCCCAATCTTTTCGACGGCCTCGTAACTATATGCTTCACCCGCGCTATGGGCACTGAAAAAGAGTGCTTTGGGCTTACCATGCTGGAATCGCACGAGACAGTGTTCCCAATCGCCGACATGGTTCCCAAATCGCACATTCAGAACTACATTCCCCAGGTTGAAGCTGTAGAAATAGAACCAGAAAGCATCAATGATGCCGTTACCTTTGTCCATAACGATCAGCACAGCTGGTGCATTGCTGTGACCCCCAGTTCGCTCCGTACGGATGGGCTCCCCACCATACCGTTTCCGAAGTTCGTCCCGAACCAGCTCGTCTTCTAAATCTGAATAACCGGGCTTATCCGGGGTCATATTGCCTTCTCTGTCCTGCGCGGTTTGGCTTGCATCGTACCACTTGGCTCTCTCTTCCGGGGTGTCGCCCGGGATATCCCCATCAACCCGACCGTCCCAATCCGCCCAGGCTTCTGCCACATCTCCATCCTCAGGAGGGTCGGGTATGTTTTTCTCTCCCTCCAGCCAGGACGGACGATCTTCAACGTTGTCATTACTCGTCAAAAATATGTAGCGCCCTCCTTGAAATTGATTTAATTGGTTAAGATCTTGCAGGGTCGGATGGTCTTCTTGTGACCGGACGGGTGTATAATTCAGCATTGGGGTTGTGTGATAGAGGTGCTCAGCGATATCACCAGGCCAGAACTGTTCGCCTGAAAACAAGTGGACGAGAGGCGCATATCGAAAAATGTAGTCTGGAATTTCTCGACGAGACCTTTCGGATTCGTCCCACGTGGCGTCCGAAAGATTGCCCCCGTTCGACCAAAACGCCCCCCAGGAAGTAGAATTAGACTTTCCTGGTGAAAGTGTCTCTGAGATGAGCTTGTGCTGGCCGAAACGGGGGCGAACCGCGCGGTAATGCGCGGTACCACAGAGCCCTAGCCACCGGCAGGCTTTCTGATCAAACCACGAATGCGAGGAAGCAATCCAGCGGGCCTCGTCTTTATCTTCGGCAGACCAGATAAAAGCCGAGGGGTTGACAGCCCGGATCAAGCTATTTATTAAAACGTATGCGATTAGCGACGAAAGGATGACAATTGCGGCGGTAGCTCTTTGTACCATCTGCTGGCAGAAATTAAATAGAGCCGTAAGGTTGGAATGATTAAAACGTGTCGAACTGCAGCAAGCAAATCCGACCTCGTTAGGATAGCTAGCAGCGGGCGCTGCAGAGCGTAGAAAAGTGATAACACTGGTAGTGCTGGCAAACGCTCTAACCGCAATAGCACCGCTACTATGCTCGGATAAGACCGTAACACTCAAGACAGGGTCCTCGGAATAAAGTAGAGAAAGTAAAGAAAAAGGCACATGAGACCACGCCGTGGCAGGACTATTGAAGACCAGTAACAAGGTATGGCAGCAATAAAGCCAGGCAACCAGACCTGGAGACGGGGGTGAAGGAGAAAGAGACACTATAAGGGAGGCGCGCAGGCATTATTGCTCCGTCAGCAGCGGTCGAGAACAGCATTGAGAACGATAGCATGGCTACCGAGAGCAGTAAAAGACCAGAGGGAAAGATTGACACTAAGGTAGTTTGGACGATGGGTATGACTGAATTGTCCACTAAGAGAGACAGGTCGGGAATGACGGAAGGGGATTAGATAATGGATGATCATAGCATGGAAGGTGACGGATGCATCTTCCAGATCAGCAGTACTATTAGCTCCCTTGCTTCCGCGCACTGCCGAATCAATTAGGAAACGCAGGACGGGAGGGACGGAAGCAGATGGCAGACGGAGGATGTTAAAATGTTTAGTTCGTGTAAGCTACTTACTTGGCATAGTGTCAGTGGAGATCTGGATATCAAAGGAGACAGAACCAGAGGTAGAGGCAAAAAAGGAGCAGTACGTAAATTCAGTGGTGGAGATGATGAAGTCATCACCAAAGCTTGATCATCTCTTTGAAGGAAGGTAAACATGGGATCCAGGGTGGATGGTATCAAGTAGTGCTAGTACCTAATACGCCCCAGTACGTAGTAAACAGAGGGGCAGGGTGTGAAGATGAATGTATAGTTTAGTTCCTGTTAGCATTCAAGTAGGACCTGTTTTTAAAAAAACAAATAATTTTTATTTCATTTTCCTACAAGGAATATGTTCATTGATTAATTGATACTGATTCAAGGATTCAATTGTAACTGTACAGTCACCGCCGGTTTGGTTAACTCCTGGTACTAGGCTAGACTAAAAAGAGGCTTAATTGAAGTTGGGTAGTTGAACTAATTGAACCTAACAACAACTCATAAGGCGGGGCCGATTTAATCTTCCCGCGAACCCCGATTCAATTTCTTGCCTAACTACAAATTCGCAACCCCTCCACGTCACACCAATCACCCACCAATCACCGTTACTACTTCCCATTGCAATTTTGGATGGATACTATCTTTTGTACTGAATAGTCCATTTGGGCCTAGAAGGATTATCTAATCTCGCCATGTGTCCTCACACGGAGCCTACATTGGTGCTGGACCCCGCCATGTTAATGGACTCAACATTATCGGATGAGGAGGGTTCTGATTATGAGTACGAATACGATGAGAATGAGACGGAGGTACGTTTTGATTCGCAATAGGATATTGCGATCATCACTCTGCATCTCTCTCTCTCTCTCACGCACCCTAATTTGTGTCCAGCTGACTGGAAGTCGCTCATAGACCTTCTATCTTAACATCGACCTCACCTCCTCTCATGGCCCCATCCGACCCTCTCGACGACGTGCAGACCTCGTGACGGATCCTTCATCAGTTGCGGCTGCTTCAAGTCTATCCTCTGTCTCCGTCCACCCTTTCCGAAACGATGAGAATGAGTCGGCTCTAGCAAGCACCGAGTCTGACAATAGCCCTGTAGACGGGTTCCAAATCCTAGGCCTTCATACCCACAATCCTGTCGTCTCATATCAGAACCAAATATTCAGCTGCTCCTGGGCCGATCAAATTGGCACCGAATTACACTTCACGCGACCTGAGCCGGAACCTCAACTTGGACCAGGGCCAGAACCAGAAGCGGCAGCTACACGAGTTGCTCCTTTAAAGCTTGATAAAGCCTTCAGCCTCATCGCTGCTAACAGTGTCAAGATTCTAGGGCGTAGAGCGAACCTTATCTCCAGTGCAGGCCCTGTTCAGCACTCGCTTTACTCAGGTGATGCACTAGACATGACGGGAGGGGCAAACCGCAGAGTGGGACCTCAAACAAACCAATCTCTGTTTCTAGAGCGATTGAGGAGCATCAAGCAAGCCAGAGGGGAGATAGACACTGTCCGCACCGTTTTCAGTCTGAAACGAGCTCAGAATCTCGAAGAGCGCTTGCGCGGTTGGGCGCGGACAGAAGAGCAATTGGCCGAGATTCAGCAACTTAACGATGCCGCGCTTCAAGGAAATTCCGACGCCATAGCAGAACTAGAGAATATCTACAATCAACTTGGTGCTCAGGACCCTGCGTCATTCGAAGACTCGTTTCAACAACGTTGAGAATGCTCCAAAGTGGACATCTTATGAACCTCTAAGACCCTACCAATAAGGCCGTCACTAGTGAATATCGTACGTTACGTTACGTTTACTCGCCGAACCAGCAATTTAAAACAAGCCATATGCGGGGTTTACTATACCACATGAGATATACACACCTGGCCGACGACGAAGAACATGAACGGATCGATTGATTTACTGCCTAGATCACTTCGGCCTTGGCATGAAGTCGTTGAATTAGGTACCAGGTCTTTCGTAACGACCTTGGTAACCCGTTTTACTCCCTTCACTAACCAGTTTGTTATCGGTGTGTCGCCATGACTGTTTGGTGATTATGTATGATCATGTCCGTAGCTGTATCGCCGCAATGGGTGTGGGCTGTTGGTTGGATAATCGTTGAGGAGATAAGCTCTTGGAAAGGTCCTTAATAGAGGTATAAGCTTTGATCTATCTTCAG